AAGTTAATATTTAATTGGCTAGGTACGAAAAGAATATGGGAAATGCCTGCGAACACATTGTTGTAGTGGCAAAAGTACCGAGAGTTCCATTGGCTCAGGAAAAACATCTGGTTCTCGAACTCCTGGACGTTATTCCACCGGCTCACAGGTAAACAATGTTTCTTAAATGAAATGAACTCTCAGGTACCTAACATTCTTTTGTGATTCATTTGTTGCTATCATTTCTTGATCAGTACAATTTTGTCTCAAGTGTTTATAAAACACTGAGTGTGTTGTTTTACTATGCCTAATATGTGAACAATTGTAAAGAAATAGAAAAATATCACATTTGCAATAGAATCACAAAATTGTATACCTCATTTAATTATAAGAAAGGCAGAGCATATTTTATATCTTCCTGATACTCCAGAACTCTCAATATTCAGCAGAAATGTACATTATTTTGTTGTTAAGTTTGAAGAACATGAAATGATTCCAGATTGTTTCTTGTTGATTAATAGAATACAAAAGAGATTTGCTACTTAACCCACAATTCTAAGAAACTAGTATTTTAGATATGTATCTTAATTACTCCTTTTAACCAATGTAATGATTCTGCATTATATACTGAATAGCTGCTTTTATAAAATGGCTTGTGTAGGAAAAATAATTATAGATCTTGTGCCATATTGTGGTCTGATAAGCTAAGGAATAAACAGGACAATAGATACAGTAGCATCATTGACCAGTTTATCTGAGTACCGCTAACATGTGAATCCAATGCTGAATGTAACTGCATCATCTCTCACCAGGGATATTTTTAACTCTTAGGAAATGTGTTTGCCATGTAAGTTACCCAACAGTACAATCCTAGAGATTAAGCTATATAAATTCAGCAACTCCAAGATACTAAAATGAAGAAGTCAAAGTATATAGTAATACATAGGTAATGTTAGCAAACTATCACATTTATATATTTTGAAATTTTCATTGTTCAATAAGAAAAACAATTAACTTTTAATGATACCAACTTAATTTTTTCTGAAAAATATTTGGATTTTAAATTGATACCCACAGATTAAAGATGTAATCAAGACTTAATTTGGCTTTTCTTTAAAGATAACCTACATATTTAATAATTGTTTCATAAGTTTTCTAATTACATGAAAAATATAAATTATCACTTAGTTTGTTCTTTGATTAATTCTAAATTAGTTCATAAGCTTGATAGATAAAATTTCCTGAAACAATATATTTTATTTGCTTGGAAAACTAAAATCCCTTAGGCCTTTTAAAGATTATTTAAAAATGTAATATAGCTGATTCTTTTTTTTTTTTT